GCATAGGCGGAGATGAGGAGAAGACATCGTTTCTCACGTCAATTTCTTCTCACTTTGATGTAACTTTCTAATCTAACAGCGCATAACCGACTGTTAATGGGGACCCGATAGATCAGTGCTACCTCAGCACTAGCCCTTAGTGAGATACAATTACCAGCAAAACCAAACGAGGAAGCCACAGGGTGTCCGGATAAAATCAAGTGAAACAAGCTCTTTGAAGCGACAGATGGAGAGCGAACTTGTAGTACTTCATCAGAGTCTTGAATGCGGGTCTCGGATAGACAACAGACGTCGATATTAGGAATTTCTGAAGAAATAGACATCCCTATCTGTTGTCCAACCTGCGTTAGTGTGCGAACGTTGAAGGAAGCCAGTTTGAATGGTGCACGTGGTTTCAGAAAAACTGTTTCAGTATTCGTATTTGGTGGTATCATACAATTTCCAACCAGTCAGTGACTCGAGAACATTTAGATAGAATTGAGTTTCCACCATAGGCGAGCTGCTGTGTAAGTCGAAAACTTAGGATACATTGAAAAGGAATAAAAGAGAGTGAATAAGTGACGTGGTAATTAATAATAATAATAGTAATAATAATAATAATAATAATAATAATAATAATAATAATAATGTGAATCGTTTGATTGTTAATCGAAGCAAGAATAGTATTTTACGTAAATATCGTCATTTCATTCTATTTGTGTGTGGGCTGTGATACTGCCCGGGTGCCCGGACCGAAGCAGGTGGTTTTCTTAGAGGGCCACACTCAAAGACTTTGACCTTAAGGTCTGACCCACAAGGCAAATGAGTATCATGGGGAGATGCGATCCCATGGTAGCCGGTGACAAACAATAGGTTCATACGCCACTTGTTTCCTCAGGATACTGGAGCCCATGTGCACCATTGGTTTAGGATTCGGTTAAAGCGCCGAACATTCGCTTTTCGTCCTCTCGATTTCGTAAACAATACCCCCACCATGAGAGGGCAGTGAGTAGGACTTCCCATTGAGTGGCTGTATACGTGCGAGAGCATTTCGAAAGGGATGACGGGCCCTCCCCACTCCCGGCCATATCAGAGCATTAGGAGGCAAAACCTTGGAAGCAGTGGACGGGACTTCTCAGCAGTGCGCATCGACGATCCCACCCTCGCGACCCGAACCCGGGAACTTCAGTCTCGCGCGCGAATACTTAGCCTACTGGACCACTGAGCTACTAATTGGGTAACAACTTGGGAATAGTAAATCGTATAATAGTAGTCAATAGATAAAATAAAAGCTTACAATAAATGCATTATGAATATACGTATAATCAGGCTACTTAATGCTATGTTTGAAGAGATTATGAGTTCATCTGATCTCAGAACGGAACGAAGAATCCGTGACACGATGACAGATAAGCTATCTATTCCGACCCGTCCCAGCCTCGCTAACTAGAGAGAGAGGTCCAGGTTCAGAAGAGGGAAATGTAGTCCACAAGCAGCAAGGAACATGAATAACAACAAGCACAAATGAAGCGTGTATATACAGCACGAAAAATATCCTTAAGCAGCGTTACAAAATAGCATATTAAAAGTGACAATGAACCAATAGCGTTTAAGATCCTTCCAAGTGGGAAATACGATATGAAGGTAAAAATGAGTGCGTTTGGCGCGAAAACAAGAAATTAAAATTTTTAAGACAGAATTACAAAAATAGCGTATTTCCCAAATAGGTTCTAGGGATCTAACATCTCCAACACTTAAAAGTTATTTTTCATTGAGACCATGAACCGATTGATGTTAGACCACCGTTGGAAACCTGGAAGCACTGGACGACCGTTTCGTCCTATTTCGGGACTCCTCAGCAGTGCGCATTCAGGATCCAGCTCACGGAATTTGAACTCAGAACCTTCAGTTTCTTAACCTCTAGACCACTGAGCTAACCGGCATCCAACGGTATTAATGTCTTATTTCAATCAATCCACGAAATTGCGCGACCATCTTCCATTGTATTGAGTTAGATGCCTGTCTCTACCCGACACGGATTAGCTCCACTGATCTCAATCAAAAACCTAATAATCTCCACAAACCAATACTGATAATTAACATGTGCTCACTAGTGACTAGCTTCGTGACGGAATTCTCGGAGCCTTGGCCAATGGAGCTAATCTGTTTTGGGTAGAGACAAGTATCTACCTCAGTTCAATGAAAGATGGTCGCGCAATTTCGTGGAGTGGTTGAAATTAGATATTAACACCATTCGACGCCGACTCAGTGTTTCAGTAGGTTAAGCATTCGCGCGCGAAACTGAGGGTTCTGAGTCCGAATCCCATGGTCGGGATTGTAGATGCGCACTGCCGAGGAGTCCCACGATAGGACGAAACAGTCGTCCAATGCTCCCACCTTTTCAACGGTGGTCTAACATCAATCAGTTCATGATCTCAATCAAAAACTTAATAATCCCCACAACTCCTATACTGATATTTAAAAGTTATCTAATAGGAATATATTTAATAATAATCCATAAATGATTCCTAGCTGTTATCATTCATTTATACGTCGTTCGAGCATAATATGAATGTCGTGGTTTATTCTTGTATAAATTCGGTAGTGTTCATTAATTAGGAATTTCCCTAATGGGATGAAAGATGAGTGACTATTCTGATGTTAATTCATGACGATAAATGACTTAAAACATATTGCCACTGCTGTACATGATTGACAAACCATAGCTGTAATCAATGCATATTGATTATTTTATGATCTTTGTTTTCATTCTTGATGATCTATTTGCTAATGGATTAACAACTCATAGCCGAACTATTATTTACATCAATATAAGAACTTCAATAGTGTGCATTACTGAAAAGTCCCATACCAGAATAAAACGGTCGTTCAACGTTTCTAGGTTTTCAATGGTAGTTTTGAGCTTAAATCGACTCATGAATTCAACTGTTAAAATTAATACAATCTTTATAAATCCCTATTCTGATAATAATAACTTCAGTTCATGTACTACTCAATTAGCTAATTATAGGTTTTGTCTTTTAAAACCTATTTAACTGACATCTGAGGATCAGTCTCCTCCTATCACGTACACACGAACAGATGCAGATGAAGACAGCCAGTGTAGCAGCAGTCTCTGCATCAGTAAGCCTCAGCATACACAAAGGGAAAACCAAGGTCCTCAAATTCAAAGCGGAAAACAGCAATACAATCACTCTTGATGGCGAAACTCTGGAAGATGTGGAGTCCTTCACATATCTGGGAAGCATCATCGATGAACAAGGAGGATCCGTTGCAGACGTAAAGGTGAGGATCGGCAAAGCAAGGGTTGCATTCCTACAATTGAAGAACATATGGAACTCAAAACAACTTTCAACCAATATCAAAGTGAGAATCTTCAATACGAACGTCAAGGCAGTTCTACTGTATGGAGCTGAAACTTGGAGAACTACAACAACCACAATCAAGAAAGTACAAGTATTTATAAATAGCTGTCTACGCAAGATACTCAACATCCATTGGCTGGATACCATCAGCAATAGCCTTCTGTGGGAGAGAACAAACCAGTTTCCAGCTGAAGAAGAAATTAGGAAAAGACGATGGAAATGGATAGGACATACATTACGCAAATCGTCAAACTGCATCACGAGGCAAGCCCTAACTTGGAATCCTGAAGAGAAGCGAAAAAGAGGAAGGCCAAAGAACACATTGCGTCGGATAATAGAAGCAGATATGAAAACGATGAATTACAACTGGACGGAGCTAGAAAGGATTGCCCAGGACAGGGTTGGATGGAGAACGCTGGTGAGCGGCCTATGCTCCTTCACGAGGAGTAACAGGCGTAAGTAAGTATGTAAGTGAGGATCAGTCTCATCAGTAATTTATTACTTTTCATCACATAACTCATTCAAGTATTTTATTCGATTGACAATCCAAGATTTGATGTTATAAAGAAAGATATCCCAAATCCTGATTTAGTGATTTGATTTGATCGGGTTGATCAAGCTCCCAAATGCCTTGGTATGGCCGAGAGTGGGGAGAGTTCAATCTCCCTCTTGAAAGGCTCTCGTATGGCCATTCGTATACAGCCACTACTATGGAAGTCCTACTCACTGCTTTCAAGTGGTTGCGGTGTTGTTTACAAAATTGAGAGGACGAAAAGAGAATGTCCGATGGGGGCTTAAACAGGGTTGGTGGACACGGTGAATCCACCTATTAGGGTTGGAAAACCCTCATTCCAAACCAATAGTGCACGTGGTCTCCAGTATCCTGAATGAACAATTGGTTACCGGCTACCATCAGACTGAATCTCCTCACATTGCTCAATTGTCTTGTGGATTAGATCTCTAGGTTAAAGGCTCGAGGAATGGCCCCCTAAAAATACCATCTTCTTCAGTTTGAGCACCTGGGCACCTGGACTTCTATCTGAAGTTTGTGCTGATGATGTCGTTCAGAAGAACGATGAAAGCTTCACGACCAAACCATCCAGCTCAGAGAACAAAACTCCACCAAAAAAACCTAGGCAGTATCTCAGCCCTCACATAAATCGAATGATTTATATGGCGCCTTTCATAGATTATCCTTTCACAATGAAAAATAGATATAAACCACACAAAGCATCACTACAAAACTCCTTTTATATCCCCCCTCTCCTTCTTTTGAATCTGTTTTCACTCCTACATGTCCGTATCTCTCTTCATCAAATTATCCATTCAATTATATACCTTAAGATTAATCTTCAGTGGATAGACAGGTCAAAAAGGGGTATAAATTACCTTCTAATATTGAAGGAAAGTTTTTTTTTTTAGAAAAACAAAACGAATCAATGACACACCTATGTATAGACACACATTATTGATCGACTAGTCAATCAATCAATATCTATATAAAAGGAAAAAAACATAGTGTCCAGATCAATGTCATTGTTGTCATTTGTTGCCATTGTTCACTATTGGGGATACCTTTTCATTGATTGTAATACATGTAATCGGATTACATAACCATTATTATTCTAAACTATAATGAATACATTATGTCATATTCTATGTTATATAGTTTTATATCAAATTCTATGTATTACATGGATTGGAAAAGGTTAGTTAAATGTAGATTACAAAACTAAACTGTATTTTGTATGTATGTATGAATGTGTGTGTGTGTGTGTTTATGAATATATATCTATATTTATCAATAAGCAGTGGAATCCTGTGAGCAGGATCATGGTTGCACACTGTTGAGGAGTCCCAAAATAGGACGAAATGGCTGTCTAAGTGGTTTCATGTTTTCCATGATGGTCTCATTTCAATTGATTCATGAATTCAACTATTCAATCAAAAGTAGCATTGGATACATTTGGTATTCTTTGGCTTGTATTTTCCCATTGAGATATTTTTTAGGACTGCAATTGATCAGTCTGTTATTGGCATATGTGCATACTGTGCGTAGGCCTCGATATTACTTTAATTCACAAGCTATGGTGTTCGAAGCGAATGGTACTGGGTTCCAGTCCCAGAGTGAACATCAACTCTGAGATGCAGGTACATCCAGCTGACGAGTCCCAAATAGGACGAAACGTGCGTCCTGGATTCCACTGCTAGCCACTATCCATCATTGCTTACAAGTAGCATTGGATAGTTGTGTTCATTCTTGTCTGAGAGGTTGAAGATGTGTACAGATATGAAATGAGATATTCATTTATTATGAGTATAGGATTGTGGAGATTGTTTAGTTTTTTATTTATTTATTGGGATCATGAAACGATTTATGTTAGATCACTATTGAAAAATTGGAAGCAGTAAACAGACGTTTCGTGTTAGTATGCAACTCCTAAGTATTGCATATCGTAGGATGAAACGGCCGTCCAGTACTTCCATGTTTTCAATGATGGTCTAACATCAATCGATTCATAACCTTAATCAAAAATTCATATATCTCATGGTAAACACATAATCTGTAGAACGTTCAGTTAGACTGCAATTAAATTCACTTGGTGTTGTCTTACTTGTATTTTCCCATTGTTATTTAGGATTGCAAGTGATCAGTTTCTTGTTGGCATATGTGTATCCTGCACGGATTGCTTCGATATAGCCTTAAGTCACAAGCTTTTTAAGCATAGATGGATAGTGCTTCGTCCTATTTGGTACTCGTCATCTGGATGTACCTGCATCCTAGAGTCTAGGTACTGGGTTCGAGTCTCAGAGTGAACATCTGTGATGCAGGTACATCCGGATGACGAATCCCAAATGGGACGAAACACCCGTCAAACTGGATTCCACTACTAGCCACTATTTATCTTTGCTTAGACTACAATTAACCGTATTTTAAGCTAAACTCAATATGTCTTATAGCAGTCCTTAACTAATGTTATTTATGATTTACTGCATAATTCTTCTATTGTTTAACTTATTGCTTTTTCTGTATGATGATGAACACCTTCGTGTTAAGTTTGAAACCAATATGGAGCAGAAGCCTAATACTCTTTAGCTGACATCCGTTTATGATGAATAACACTTTTAAATGAAAAAAATAGTTATCACTAACTATGACTTACATTTACTTCAAATAATCAGCTTTCTACTCTGCATTCATCCTGTGGTATTATGCTACTGATATCGACAGATATAAGTAGTATGTATCTTAATAGAAAGTGAAATGCCTGACGGTAGAAGGTTAAAAAGATCAAAGAAAAGAGAATGAGAACAAAGAATGATTGGTATGGAAATAAAGGAACAATGAAGTCTTAGACAGTTGATTGACATTTTACAAATGAACTATTTACAGTATGGTTCTTAGATTTTACTAAGAGATTCTGTTTGTTTGAATATAACTTGATAGACCCCCACTTCTGTTCTTGTTCATCACAATCCCATTCCATTTCTTAACTTATATACTACAGAAATATAAGATTATATTAGGTTCATTTTTATGATTATCATAAAGAATTTCAGTTTTTTTCAATGGTTGAGATCATGAATCAATTGAAGCTAGATCACCATGGAAAATGTGGAAGTAATGGACGACCGTTTTCCATGATGGTTTAGCTTCGTTTGATTCATGATCTCAACCATTGAAATTACTATAATATTTTTGATTGAGATCATGAACCGATTGATGTTAGACCACCGTTGGAAACCTGGAAGCACTGGACGACCGTTCCGTCCTATTGTGGGACTCCTCAGCAGTGCGCATCCACGATCCCACTCCCTACGAGATTCGAACCCAGGGCCTTCGGTCTCGCGCGCGAATGCTTAACCAACTGGACCACTGAGCGGGCATCCAATGGTGATAGTGTCTAACATCAACCAATCCACGAAATTGCGCGACCAACATGTGCTTACTAGTGACTAGCTTCGTGAGGGAATTCTCGGAGTTCTAGTGAGAAGCCGAGATCAGTGGAGCTAATCCATGTCGGGTAGAGACAGGTATCTACCTCAGTACAATGGAAGATGGTCGCGCAATTTCGTGGATTGGTTGATGTTAGACACTATCACCATTGGATGCCGGCTCAGTGGTCCGGTTTGTTAAGCGTTCGCGCGCGAGACCAAAGGCCCTGGGTTCAAATCTCGCAGGGAGTGGGATCGTGGATGCGCACTGCTGAGGAGTCCCACAATAGGACGAAACGGTCGTCCAGTGCTTCCAGGTTTCCAACGGTGGTCTAACATCAATCGGTTCATGATCTCAATCAAAAACGTAATAATCTCCACAACCCCCATACTAGTACTATAATATTCACAAAACACTCTTTTGATATGGATTTCAGTTTTACCAAGAGGTTTTAATTTGAATGATCATATCTTCTAGCGTTGATTTACTCAAGAAAGAAGATAAGATACACTCAATACTCAAAAGAAAATTCTGTTATTTACTAGGGTTAGTGATATTAAACAGCTGCCAAAGACTACGTTGGTAGTGCTAAATAAGAAATTGTGTCTTACTGAGACTGGAGACAAACTCCACATTGTCATATCATCTGAGTGTAACATAATCAATAATGACGGTTGTGTTTTCGTTCATTCAGTCAATCAATTATAGCTATAATAGAACAATTTCTATTACAGAATTAATTTGAGGTAAGAATTTTGCTATCATGACAAAGTTTACTACACTTGACTTGTTCGTAGCGTGATATTTTTACCGTCGACTGAGATGGTTGGGCCACGTGCGACGTATGCCTGAACACCGATTCCCATGACGTGCAATGCTAATCGGTGTTGGAGATGGTTGGAAGAAAGTTAGAGACGGACAAACCAAAACGTGGTATCAGTGCTTGAAGTCACTAACTTCTAATCTGAGCCATGTTGGTAGATGCAGACTACTTGGTTGGGGTCCGCGTGACTATCGTAACCAATGGTTCAACATTGATCACAATGGTGTAGGTGTATACACTCTTTGTCTTCTCTTAAACTATGAGATTAAAATCGCTTCATATCTTTCTTTCTATGAACTACTTCTTTCTCCCTGTACTATATCCTTACATGCAATCTTTCTTTTATATATTAACACCATTGACTTAACCACTCCTATGAATCCGGTGTTCATCTTGTTGTGTTAATGAGGTATGGCAACTTTTACTGATGCATATATGTGCCTGGTCTTACGTTGTAGCTCACTGACTGATTGACTGTATCCACGATTTCGCATCAAAGCGGCTCAAACTCAGGACCTTCAGTCTCACACGTGAACACTTAACCTTTAAGTCACTGAGCCGGCAAACAACAGTGTTAATGACTAACTTTAATCACCTCATGAATTCAACTATTAAATTAGTACAATCTCCACAACACTTCCCCTTCATTCTGATAATGATTACAATTTTATAACACAGTTCAAATAGTTACTTCAATTTCTTATTTTTATTTATACAATAGTTGATTCAGGTCATTCAGAGAAACGTCTATTAAAATATTTATTTGATCAAAAACGATGGGATGCCCACAATCCAATGGAACGTCCAGTTTCAGTAGATGGTAAACCTGTACAAGTATTTCTTAAATGTTTCCTTAATCAAATAATGGATGTAGTAAGTGATTAACTTCATTTCATTGAATATAACATAACTTTGTATTGAAGATTTAAGAATAATGTTCTTTATATTCATATGCCATTTGTTTCCTCAGGATCCTGAATCCCATGTGCACCATTAGTTTGGAATGAGAGTTTTCTAACTCCCTAAGTGAATCTGCCGTGTCCATCAATCTGGTTACAGCGCTGGACATTCTCTTTCCGTCCTCTTAGCTTCGTAAACAACTGTCTGGACACATGAAGGCAGTGAGTAGGACTTCCCTGATAATGGTTGTATGCACGTGGCCATGTGAGAGGATTTGTAGAGAAAGAGCTAACTCTTCCCACTCTCAGTCGTACTAGAGCACTCTAGGTATAATATGTTCAGTGAATGATAAAAATCACTCAACAAAAGTCACTGAACAAAACACAGGGATTTTATGGTATTACTTACTTACTTACGTCTGTTACTCCTAATAGAGCATAGGACGCCGACCAGCATTCTCCAACCCACTCTGTTCTGGGCCTTCTTTTCTAGTTCTATCCAATTCTTGTTCATTTTTCTCATGTCTATCTCCATTTCTCGGCGTAATGTGTTCTTTGGTCTTCCTCTTTTCCTTTGGCCTTGAGGATTCCATGTGAGGGCTTGTCTTGTGACGCAATTGGGTGCTTTCCTCAATGTGTGTCCTATCCACTTCCAGCGCTTCTTCCTGATTTCTTCCTCCACTGGAATCTGGTTTGTTCTCTCCCACAGTTGGTATTTTATGGTATAAATACATGCATTTCTGAAGTATCCCTATGATAGATTAAATGATCTCATTCTTGTCTTATCCCACCAAGTTACATCAGTTTTAAAATCAATTATTGTTGTCATTTCTTGATGAAAATAACATTCTTACTAGGAATGAAATCTATTCATATCCATGATGAATCTATATTCAATATTGCTTATTTTCGAAATTATAAACTCTTAATTGTTCTAGTCAGAGTAACCTTGACTTAGATGGTTAAATAAGTTGTGAATGAAGTAATAACTCAGAGATGATATTGTATTATAAAGTTAGTGTGAATCACAGAGCTTCAGCTCAGTGAATAACTATAATACTTGTCGTCATGAAACTTGAAAATTCTAGTGTGGAACTGGTGTATTTTCCTGGATACAAACTGCTGGAATCCTAAGCTAGAAGAATATAGTTGTTCAGTTCCTATGTTGCGTTCTGCATTTTTCGACTCAGATACATACGCTCCCAATTATGCAAACCAGTCAGTCAGTAACAACGTAGAACATCGTACGTACGTACATCAGTTCGAGTTGCCACACCACATTAGCACACAGATGCAGTGGTCGATTCAAATCCCGTAGTCGTAGAGGTAATAAGAGTATAAGCAGTAATCAGGAAAATTAGTGTTTGGAGATGTTATTTAAAGAGTATAATACAGTGGAATAAATTTGGGAAGAGAAAAAAAAGAGACAAGGAGGAATAAGGAGATCAAAATTTGGGAGAACACAAAGAGTGTATGCACCTGGGCCATTGCAAACGATTTTGAGCTATGTCATTCAGAGTCTCTAACCATCGGTTGCTATAATCTCGCGGATAACAAGTAGGTAGTCTACACTTACTAACAAGGCTCAGTCTACTTGTCAGTGACTTCATGGACTTGTGCCATGTTTCGGTCTGGTCGCTCCTACCTTTCTTCCAACCTACTCCTATACCACTGAACATCGCACTGAACATCGAGGCAGTCGGTCGTTGGGCATACGTAACACGTGTCCCAGACAACTCAACTGATCGTTTCACAATTTCATCAATTGATTTGCCATCCTTACCTAGTACCCATTTCCTAACAACTGCATTACTTACTCGATGGTCCCAGGATATACGAGCAATATTTCGAAGACACTTATGATCAAATACTAGTAACCTACGAATATCCTCTACTCTTACCGGCCATGTTTCACTGCCATGCAAACCAGTAGATTAAGCAATAATTAGGAAGATTGTAGGGTGTGATCTTTCACCCACCATTTGACCATGAGATGCTATATGAGCATAGGTCTGTGATATGCCTAGACTTGTCCAACCTATCATTCTCATTTTTAAAGCAAATATCCAACTGATACCACGCCTTGATCATAAAAACACAACTAATTACTAAATTACGCTTGTTACTCCCCGTGAGTCATAGGCCGCTGACCTGAGGTCTGCAATCTACTCTATCCTGCACTCTTCAATTATTTTGATGTCTCCTTCCGATTCCCAGTTCAATTTATTCTTTGGTCTTCTTTTATTCTTTTTGACATGAGGATTCCAGTTTGTGGCTTGTTTCGTTATACAAATTAATCATTTCCGAAATGCATGTCCTATTCACCTTCAAAGTTTTCTTTAATTTCCTCTTCAGTTGGAAGGTGGTTTTTGCTCTACCACAGTATATTTTTACTGATGTTATTTGACCAACAAATCTGGGGTATCTTGTGCAAATAACGATCTATAAATACTTATACCTCTTTGATTATGATTGTAGTAGTTGTCTAAGTTTTAGCCCCGTACAATAGAACCATCTTGATGTCTGTACTAAGAATTGTAAATTACATGTTTCCTGACAGTTAATCTGAGTTTCAAATGTCTTCCTATTGTAAAAACATCAGAAGGGGTTTTGTGGATATTATAGTAATTTTAATGGTTGAGACCAGTGGAGTTCAACCGGATTTGTTGTGAGATAGTAACTCACTGAAGACAATGGTGGATGTGTCGCTCAAGTCGGTGGACTAGGTGAATTTAGACATTTACACCGTTGGATGCCGGTTAGCTCAGTGGTCTGATAATTAAGTGCTCACCCGTGATACTGATAGGTCGTGGGTTCGAATCTCACGAGGCGGGATCGTGGATGCTCACTGCTGAGGAATCTCACAATAGGACGAAACGGCCATCCAATGGTTACAGGTTTTCCATGGTGGTCTAGCTTCAATTGACTCATGATATCAATCTGTGAAATTTCTAAAATCTCCATAAAATCCTTCTACTTTTAATTTTTTTATATAACCCTTAACCTACATTTTAGGATGAAAAAAATCAAGTTCTATCTACAATCATTTGGCTTGATTTAGTAAGTTCTTTCATTTGTGAATTACTATACAATAATGATCTATACTGGCTATATACTCCAGATTTTAATTGATGATATCATGGGAAACTATATTTTAGAAACTTACCATTATCCAAGTTAAGAACAATATACGAACTCAACAAAAACAACAGGATTTGTAGGGTGGAATGAATTTCTTATTATATTTCATGACTTGTCATCAGCTTTAGATAGCTTAACATTCTATGACTTAACATATTTAAATTAATGAGGTTGAGGTTAATGTTTAAATGTAGCCGAAGCCCACTTTAAAAGTTCAAAGATGGATAGTGGCTAGCAGTCGGATCCAGTTTGACGCGTGTTTCGTCTTGTTTTGGACTCATCATTTGGATATACCTTCATCCCAGATTCGATGTTCACTCTGGAGATAACGAATTATTTTTAACAAAAGTCAGATTCTCCACAACGTTATTAACAATGACATTAGAAAAAGTTGTAAGAGAAGGAAATATGAGACAACTATATGACAGAACGAAGAAACTGTCAGGGAAATATGATAAATTATAGAGACCGGTTAAGGACAAAAAAGGCAAGCCAATCACTGAAATTCAAGAACGGAGGGACAGATGAGATTAACATTTTGAAGAAGTTTTGAATAGACTAGCGCCACTGAATCCACCGGACAATGAAGCAGAACACAGGCCTTCTTATAGATGTCATTCCACAACGATCAAAGAAATCAGGATGTCCATCAGACAAATCAAGAGTAGAAAAGAACTAGGACCTGACAATATACCAGCCGTAGCATTGAAGTCAGATATTAAAGTAACTGCAAACATGCTTCACCTTCTATCCAGGTAGATTTGGAAAGAAGAAAAAGTGCCAACAGAGTGAAAAGAAGGACACCTCATCAAGATACCAAAGAAAGGAGATCTGAGCAAGTGTGAGAACTACATGGCATAGTACTAATATCGTTACCAGGAAAAGTTTTAAACAAAGTGTTTCTGGACCGAATGAAAGAATCAGTGGACGCTCAGCTTCGAGATCAACAGGCTGGATTCCGTAAGGATAGCTCGTGCACAAACCAAAGTGTGACACTACGGATCATCGTCAAACAATCAATTGAGTGGAACTCTTCACTATACATCAACTTCATTGACTATGAGAAGGCGTTTAAGAGTTTGGACAGGAGGATCTAGTGGAAACTTCTTCGACACTATGCTGTAACTGAAATGATCGTCAACGTCATCCAGAGTTCATACGTTGGATTGCAGTGCAAAGTCGTTTATGGAGGATAGCCGACAAATGCACTCCAAGTAAGGACGGAAGTCTGAAAAGACTGCTTACTCTCCCCTTTCATCTTTCTTCTGGTGGTCGACTGGATTATGAAGACCTTGACACCAGAGAGGCAACACAGAATACAATGGACAGCTTGGAATCAGTTAGAAGATTTGAACTTCGTTGATAACATAGCCCTCCTATCCAATACACACAAACAAATACAGATGAAGAAAACTAGTGTAGCAGCAACCTCCGAATCAGTAGGTCTCAAATTACACATAGGAAAAAGCAAGTTACTCAAACACAACACGCTGAACACCAACGCAACCACACTTGATGGAGAAACTCTGGATGACGTGAGATCCTTCACGTATCTGGATAGCATCATCGATGAACAAGGAGGAACGGATGAAGACGAAAAAGCGAGGAATGACAAAACAAGGACCGCATTCCTACAATTCAAGAATATATGGAATTCAAAACACCTACCTATCAACCAATATCAAAATCAGGATTTTCAATACGAACACCAAGACAGTGAATTCTATTGTACGGAGCTGAAACTTTGAGAACTACTACTAAAACCATCATCGAAATAGAACAAGTATTTGTTAATAGTTGTCTACATAATATACTCAACATCCGTCGGCCGAATACGATCAGCAACAGGCTACCGTGGAAGAGAACAAACCAGATCCCAGTTGAAGAGAAATTTAGGAAAAGACGTTAGAATTGGATAGGATTAACATTACGGAAATCACCAAACTGCATCACGAGGCAAGCCCTAACTCGGAATCGTGGAGGGAAGCGGAAAAAAGGAAGGTGAAAGAACACACTGTGTCGGGAATCGGAAGCAAACATGAAAAGGATAAATAACAATTGGAAAGAGCTGGAAAGGATTGCCGAGGACAGAGTTGGATGGAGAGTGCTGGTGGTTGGCCTATGCTCCTCTGTGAGGAGTAACAGGCGTAAGTGCGTAAGTAAGTAAGTCATTCGTTACTGATCGAACGATCAATTTTTATTATTAGTAAATATCTTACCAACTAAAAGAGTTTTGGCCACTACAAACAAAGAAACGGGGTTTTCGAATAGTTAGTGTTTATCTATGAACTAGCCAATAAGACACTAAAGATTGATGATACACTAAATTTTATTTTGTTTTCTAAACTTTGTAATTATAACAAATTGACGGGTATAGTTGAATTGCGTCTGTGCAGTCACAATAATTCCCGAGGCTATCTAGTATAAGAGCTTTCTACATTCCTAATGTTGATATTTCGGCTTGCATTTGTTGCACAGAGGTCTACTCAACCGTTTGAGTCACCTATTTTCCAACTGTATGAATATTGCAATAAATCTTCATGTATTACATTTATCTGAACTGAATATGAATCTCATCTGTGCGTAATAACATGTTATTACGAAACCCTCATGACCTTTTCGTGATGCTAAACGCTGGAGATCTCATGACGAAACACTACACCTGTCAGTATATTCTCTTCCTTGTCTACACTTTCGAAAAAAGCGAGAGACGAATACATTGGAATTCATGAATTCACTATAGGATGGAGGAAAGCAAATCAATAAACTGACAAAGAACTTCTACCATCGAAAATGTCTTACAGATACTGACTATTAAAAAGACCATTCATAGAATGTAATCACAGTTTGAATGTATCTTAAACAGAACTTTATTGCAATATCGAATAAATGATTCTAAGAATTCCTTAGGGTGAATAAACTTCTCATAATGAATTAAGCTATTATTATGATTAACAGAGATGAATGGTTGCTCTGCAGTGGAATATAGGACGTGAGTTTCGTCCTTATTTGGACTCGTCAACTGAATGTATCTGGATCCCAGAGTTGATGTTTATTCCCGAACCCAGTACTGTTCACTTCAAATCCCCTCGCGTAATCCATTGAGTTAACGGGAAGATTCAAACAACCAATACAAGATTTACCACCATTATTATTATTGCTACCACTATCAGTTTTCATTGGGATGTATGCATCATGACCTGATGCCTTAATATAAACACTTAGGAACAATTTCAATACGTTAACCAACAGTTTAAAGGGAAGATGATATGTTGGATTCGCTGGAGCAAAAATAATGACTGTTGTGTTGTACATTATCCAATTCTGATACTGACAAATAAATCTTTCATACATAACAAGTTCAACTAGCTGCTTGAATAAGAATGAAGCCTTTAATAATTAAACGAGTAATAACTAAATAAGTATATTAATAAATGAGGGGTATCTTTCTTTCGAAAAGAAAGCTAAATCTTGACCAATCGCTCACACTTAACATTTCGCCGATGTCCAATTGGCTCATCCTTCCTTCTTGAGAGAACTTTTTTTTTGGGGAGGGGAGGGTTAATTGTAAGAGTTAAGGTTGGTTCATATCCATGATATTACATAATCTTTATCAAATTGATCATACTCAATCTATTTTTTTGCTATTTCGAAACTAAATTTCATTTTAGAAATGGTCAGATTATCATTTCCATTGGAATGCTAGTGACTATGAAAATATTCGACAGATAAATTTACCACCAGAGAGAATATGGAAACCAGATATTCTATTATATAATAGGTAGGTGAATAATTCTCTTTGTTATCTTGTTCTTTCTGTTATCCTATGTCTATCCTACAAAACGTATACTCTTTGATAGTGTCATATTCATGCTAAGTAATAGAGGGAATATTTAATATACTTCAAATACATATGCGTCCCACAGGTCACTTGGTTTGTGTCTGGGCTGTGATACTGCTCGGATGCCGAAACCGAAGTAGGTGGTTCTCTTAGGAGGCCACACCCGGAGCCTTTGACCTGATGGTCTGATCCATAAGGTAGTGGGGCAACGTGAGGAGATACGGTTTGATGGTAGCTATTGACCAACGATTGGTTTATACGTCATGTTTTCCTTCAGGGTCTTGGAGTTCATGCCCACCATTAGTTTGGAATCAGGGTTTTCCAACTCTTCTAGGTGGATCCTCCATATTCACCAACCCGGTTAAAGCTCCAGACATTCACTTTTTTTCCTCTCAGTTTCGTGAACAACAGTAATGCCACGAGAAGGCTGTGAGTAGGACTTCCCTTGATGTGGCTGTATACGCATGGCCATGTGAGAGGATTCGGAGAGGATGAGCTGACTCTCCCCATCCTCGGCCATACTAGGGAATTTGGGGGCGTTTGAAATACTCAAACAGATGAGTTCTAGTAGAATTCATTTAAGTATTCATTCCCCTGTTGGATTATAAATATCTTCGAAGTATGACTGACGTATATTGAGACTGCTGAATGGAAAAAAATGTCAATCGATATAATGGTGTTTCTATAACAACTAAGATAGTTGATTTAAGTGTTACGTGAGCCCAACTACTATCTACCTTGATACCTAATGTTGCATGGGGCAGAAATAATTTGAAATGTTTTGTTTATACATTCAAGATAAGAATAGTTCATTAAATATTAGATGTGGTCTGGTGATGCACCGAAAGAAATTCAGACAGTTTTTTTTTATAGATCATCTCATGTCTAATATTCAATAACTTTCTAACTATTCTCTTAGGATTTCCTCTTGAATTACTATGGTAACCAATGGGTAGGATTACTTCGTTTTGGATGATTTTGATAGAGTTTTGTTTTCTGAGCTGGATGGTTTGGTCGTGGAGCTTTCATTATTCTCCTGAATGACATCATTAGCACTTTGTTTGAATAGTCTGAATTAATTTATATGTTGACCATGACGAGTTCGTCCAAGTTTTCTTTCGTCGCTAAATGAAAACAGATTCATATTACCAATGCCACTTCTAGTACATTTCATCTCTGTCCCATAATGTTTTTTGTTGTAGGCAGCGGTACTTGCTCCAAAAACTTGACATCGTTTTACAGGAGATGATATGTAACAATAATATAGGTAACAAGATGCAGCTAAGATTATTGCTTAAATAGCATTAAATACAACGAGCCCGGAATACCGTGGTACGGCAGAGAGTGGGGAGAGTCCGCTCTCCCTCTCCAAATGCTCTCACATGGTCACGCGTATACAGCCTCTGCCAGGGAAGTCCTACTCACTGCCTTCTCGCACAACGGTTGTTGTTTACGAAAATGAGAGGACGAAAAGCGAATGTCCGGTGCTTTAACCGGATTCCAAACCAATGGTGTGCGTGGGCTCCAGTATCCTAAAGGAACAAATGAAGTATGAACCTATTGTTGGTCATCGGCTACCATGGGACTGCATCTCCTTACGATGCTTTACTACCTTGTGGATTAGACCTTCAGGTCGAAGGCTCGGGGTATGGCCTCCTAAGAAAACCACCTGTTTCAGTTTGGGCACCCGGGCAGTATTACAGCCCTCACACATATCGAATGAGATTTGTTTGGCGCATATGTATTTGGTGCCTCCTTGTACCAATATCTGTGTGTTAAAATAAATGAGAGTTATTACAATCAACTATCTACAGACTAAGTACAGTATAAAATATGCCTTAGCTGCGTCTCTCAACAAAATTGACATTAGAAGAGTTAGAAAGGCTGTCCAATACACTTCAGTGGTGCGTGAATTAGCATGTCATTATGTAATACATTAAAATCTTCATTCACAATTCGTCATTATATCCATTTTGTAATTCAATTATTTTAGTGCTAGTGAAAAATTTGATCAAATTTTTCCAACGAAAGTCATTGTTAGAAATACTGGAAATATTCAATGGGTACCACCGGGTTTATTTCATTCTATTTGTGATATTGAAGTGAATTGGTTCCCATTCGATTCACAGGTTAGTAACAACTATAACTATATATGTGTGTACGTGTATTTATCCATTTATATATTCATATATAAGGAATTAGCCGTTTAGTTACTATGTTCATGTTATAACTTGTGACCGCCGATTAGAGGGCAGTGAATTATCAACCAGACCAAGGACGCGTAAAACACGTGCGAGCAGCCTAGAGTCCTGATTGGCCCTGCTTTCCGCATAGCCCAGCTAGTTATGTTCAGAACACCAGTCTCAGCCTCTGGAACATGAATCATTATATTTCAAACATGCTCTGTTTATATACCAATCAAGCAGACCACAACGTATCAATAAAATATGAAACGACATTTGTACAGGAATTAGCCAGATGTGGCTGTGAATGAGGGAGGTAGTAATTAATGTATTGGGCATAACTCAGGAGCAGTAAATCGTTTCATAATAGTTTATGGGTCAAAATAGACCTTATAATAAGAGAAATATGAATATGAATAGTTTAGGTACTTAATAATTATACAATAGAAATGCACGATTAGTATTGGTCCATCAATAGATCCCAAAAGTTACCATTCATTATGTTTCTCGGGACCTAACAGTTCATTACAGAATTACTAGAAAGCAATGGTCTGTTACTATGATCATTTCACATTTAATCAATCGATTAAAAATTCGAATTCTGCTCCGTAGTCTTCAATTTATGCAGTTACATGTTATCACTAGTTGTTATATAAGTAGTGTTACTTAAAACCTTAGATAATAGTAGAACAAAAGTTTATTTTCAGTTTAGGGGTTGTGGAGATTGTTAAGTTCTCGATTGAGATCATGAACCGATTGATGTTAGACTACCATCAAAAACTTGTAAGCACTGGACGGCCATTTCGTCTTATTGTGGGACTCCTCAGCAGTGCGCGGGATTCGAACCCGCTGTGTCGGGCAGAAACAGGTGTCTACCTCAGTACAATGGGAGATGGTCGCGCAATTTCGTGGATTGGTTGAGGTGAGACAATAACACCATTGGATGCCGGCTCACTGACCCAGCAGGTTAAGCGTTCACACATGAGGCTAAAGGCCCCGGGTCCGAATCCCGCGAGCGGGGATTATGAATGAGCACCACTGACGAGTCCCACAATGGGAAGAAGCGACCATCCAGTGCTTCCAGGTTCTCAATGGTGGTCTAACATCAATCGGTTCATGATCTCAATCAAAAAGTTTATTTTTCTGTTTGCCGCGTTATACTACTATAATACGATAAGTGACTATACTACTAATCTGGATAGTCGATAAATGTGCTATACACTAATTGGGATCACGTTATATCAGATACACGATTCGTTAATAAAAAATAGAGACATAGAGTATAGACTAAATAATACTTTATTCAGCGCAGTTGTGGAGATTGTTGGATCTCATTGAAATCATGAACCGATCAATGCTAGACCAACATTGGAAACTACAAGTAATCTACACTCAATGACTCAAGGGTGCAAATCAATAATAGGAAAGAAATCTCATATTGAATAACTAATAAGTTGACTGTATATCAGTCTACATTCAACGCTCAATCTCATCTTAGTTCCATTAGTCGCACGGTAGAACCAAGTATATAATCCACAGTATTGATTTTCAAACGTCTTATTTATTCATGGATCTCCTAGTTTAATTGAATGGTGGTATCAATACATGATAACAAGGAATAGTTGTTCGTTGATTAAAATTGAAGAAGAAATTCAAATATAAAATGATACCTCCTGTATTGGTATCCGCATTACCCAGCTTTATATCCTAACATGTCATTGGATAGTTTGAATAGATTGATGGTAAGGTTTCGATATGTGAAACTTGATTATGTAGATTTTAGCATGACAGAGAGGATCAGTCCCATTAAGATTCCAAGCAAGACATGCTGATGAGTGTTAATCAGCACAAAATTTAGGTCCATATTTACTCTCTGACTATCCAACACACTTTAACATCAAATTATAGTTCACATAATAACAAGATAGTTAGAATGGTGGAGATATTACAAGTTGTTAAGCAGAATTTGATCACCTCTGAGGACCAAATGAATAAAACACTGGTCACTGCTCAATATCCAATCAGTGTAAATTAATTGTGTTTCGTTACTTATTTGCACCTGTTACTCCTCACAGAGGAGCATAGGCCAACCACCAGCACTCTCCATCCAACTCCGTCCTCGGCAATCCTTTCCAGCTCTTTCCAATTGTTATTTATCCTTTTCATGTTTGCTTCCGATTCCCGACACAGTGTGTTCTTTGACCTTCTTCTTTTCCGCTTCCCTCCACGATTCCGAGTTAGGGCTTGCCTCGTGATGCAGTTTGGTGATTTCCGTAATGCATATCCTATCCAATTCTAACGTCTTTTCCTAAATTTCTCTTCAACTGGGAGCTGGTTTGTTCTCTTCCACAGTAGCCTGTTGTTGATCGTATCCGGCCAACGGATGTTGAGTATATTATGTAGACAACTATTTATAAATACTTGTTCTATTTTGATGATGGTTGTAGTAGTAGTTCTCAACGTTTCAGCTCCGTACAATAGAATTCACTGTCTTGGTGTTCGTATTGAAGATTGTGACTTTGATAGATAGGTGTTTTGAGTTGCATATATTCTTGAATTGTAGGAATGCGGTCCTTGTTTTGTCAATCCTCGCTTTTGCGTCTGCATCCGTTCCTCTTTGTTCATCGATGATGCTATCCAGATACATGAAGGATCTCACGTCATTCAGAGTTTCTCCATCAAGTGTGATTGCGTTGGTGTTCAGCGTGTTTTGTTTGAGGAACTTGCTTTTTCCTATGTGCATTTTGAGACCTACTGATTCGGAGGTTGCTGCTACACTAGTTGTCTTCATCTGCATTTGTTCGTGTGTATGGGATAGGAGGGCTATGTCATCTACGAAGTCCAAATCGTCTAATTGGTTCTAAGCTGTCCAATTATTGTTTCGTAGGACCCGTTATTATATGAAAATTATTCAACAGACATCAAAAATCTTTATTGACCACAGTGAATACACTGACTATGATGCCATATTCGTAGCATGAAATTCTTGCATTCACAAACCATAAATCCAAACATTAGTGAATTGAATCAATGGTCATACGCATCCTTATATGTACATCAATGAAACTATTAACTAGCATGGTTATCATCTAAGCAAAATAGATGACCATAACGCATCACAAATAAATAGATTTGACATTGATGATTAATTAAACTGTTAAGGATACAGCAATGATAAATGAGGTCAAGTGGTAGTTAACTATTAGGACGAAAGTATCTGTTTAACAGTTACACACACACACACACACAAAATGTGAACAAATTAATTTTCTTTTAAAATACTTTTAGAAATTTCAGATTTTCTCTTTTTATCATGCATTTCTAACATCATTACCAGTCAGTCAGTCAGTCAGTTACAACGTAAAACCAGGCACATATATGCATCGGTCCAAGTTGCCATACCTCATTAACACAACAAGATGGACACCGGATTCATAAAAGTAGTTAATTCAGTGGTAGTAATATATAAAAGAAAGATTGTGCATAACCACATAGTACAGGAAGAAAGATTTAGTTGGTAGAAAGAAAGATATGAAGCGATTTTAATCTCTTAGTTTAAGGGAAGACAAAGAGTGTATACACCTACACATTGTGATTGATTCGGAACCATGTCACCAAGAGTCTCCAACTATTGGTTACGATTGTCACGCGGACCCCAACCAAGTAGTCTGCATCTACCAACATGGCTCACACTAGAAGTTAGTGACTTCAAGCACTGATGCCACATTTTGGTTTGGCCACCCCTAACGTTCTTCCAATTATCCCCAGCACCGGTTAGCACTGCACCTCGTGGTAATCGGTGTTCGAGCATACGTAACACGTGGCCTAACCATCTCAGTCGATGAAGATTCACAACCTCATCGACTGATTTACCGTCATCATTCCCTAATACCATGCATTTAACCTCACTATTACTAACCCGGTGATCCCAGCAGACGCCGGCAGTATTTCTAAGGCATCTGTGGTCAAATACTAGTAGCTTACAAGTATCTTCTACTTTTAATGGCCACATTTCGCATCCGTAAAGTAGAGCAGAACAAACTGCTGCACAGTATACTCGTCCTTTTATTGATAGACGGATATCTCGCCTTCGCCATAGGTGACGTAAGTTGGCAAGAGCCAACGAAGAATAGATAAATGGTAACTAATAGGAACTATAAGCAAAGATGGATAGTGGCTAGCAGTGAAATCTAGGACGCACGTTTCGTCTTTGTTTATAAGGCTTATGAATTAAGACAATATCGAGGCAATACACACAGTACGCACATATTCCAATAAGAGACTGATCAATTGCAGTCCTAAACATCAATGGGAAGATTGATGTAAACAATACCATGTGAGTTTGATAGCACCTAATTATGGACTATTATTACATATATTCCTATTGGATAACTATCGAGTAACTACGTTATATATGTATATTGATATTCCTTTTGTTATAAGCTTTCATTTGACCTATTGACTATTATTATACGATTTACTATTCCTGACTTATTTTCAACTTATGAGTTATAGTCCTTCACAATCACAGCTACTTTTTGGTTTGCTGTTGTATAATAATTATTTTTTATGTTATGGTATGATATGGTCTGGTTTGTTTGTATATAAACTCAGTATGTCTAAAATATGTGATTTGTATGATAGAGGCTGATATTGGCGTTCTGGACTAAACCGGCTGGGTTAGGAGAGAACCTGTTAGTCTCGGTGAACCGATAAGAACTCTAGGCTGCTCGTACAGATTTATGTGTCATTAGTCTGGTCATATAAGTCGGTGTCTCTAATTAGTAGCGGTATCACGTGACATAATTAGTTGGGCATAAGAACACAACACTAAGATTATCAGTTGATATTCGTATTCAGCAGTGAAATTTTAAAATAGTTTTTAGAATGCATAGATTGTGACTAGTTTTGGAATCTAAGACAGACATTTCGTTCTGTCTAAGACTTGTCAACCAGATGTATGTGAATAGCAGTATTCAAATAAGCATCATACTTGTGTAAATATGTTAGTAGCTATCTGAACTTACTAGTTAAGTGGATAAGGCACTTAAAGTTACAAGTATTGGGTTCGAGTCTCAGTGTGAACATTAACATCGGAATAAAGATAAACCTAGTTAAAAAGCGCTTATCATTATTATTATTATTGTTATTATTATGATCATTGTCACTACCATCATGACTTTTATATCATCATTTAGAATTGTATAATGAAACTTGGAACATGGACTTATCAAGGAAATACAGTAGATTTGAAATTACAATGTGATAATGAAACTGAAGATGTGGATCAACCATGTCATTATATGAATGATGTTGATTTATCGACTTATTTAGCTCATAGTGAATGGGCTTTAGAAAGTAAGTCATCTATGTATTGAATCAATTTTATGTAGGATAATGAATTGTGTTTATCGACCATCAGTTTGGAATGAAGGTTTTCCAACTCCCCTAAGTGAGTCCTCCGTATCCACCAACCCGGTCAAAGCCCCCATCGGACATTCTCTTTTTGTCCTCTCAATTCTGTAAACAACTGTCTGGTCACGAGAAGGCAGTGAGTAGGACTTCCCTGGTAGTGGTTGTATACTCATGGCCATGTGGGAGAGTTAACTCTCCTCATCCTCGGCCGTATCAGGGCACTTGGGGGCAAATGTTTTCATCCATTTTAAATAGTTGAAATGGAGACAATTACAAAAAATTAAAGAAATTACTTTACTCAATCGTTTGATTCAGCTATATATAAATATGGTATATGCTACTTATGTTAACAGACATAAGTGTTATGTAACACCAGTCAAAAGTGGAATGCCTGACAGTAGAAGATTGAATTGAAGAGAACAGAAAGAACGATGAAGCTTTTAAGAGACAACTGATGGAAGACTTGACGATTATGAATTCAATGTCTGGTTTTCATACTGTACAGAGACGTTCTGTAATTTTACAACGAAAAAATAAATTGGTTTCCCCCAACTAAATCCTCGTTCACTATTTCGAATGGTTTTCTGAAATATCCGGTTGTTAATGTTTTCTAGTTGACAATTTCCAAATAAGACGAAATATACATCCTGAATACTATAGTTAGTCATATTCCATCTATTCTATACTAATCAAGACTTGTCTTCAAAAGTATGAAAGATTCATTGAAGATTCCTTGACTAGTCATTGTTAACGATCTAACCAAGTTTTATTATTTACATTATGTAATATACTTACATAATAGATTTTCATTTGATTTCCATATTTCAATTGTTTTTCATTACAAAATCAAACAAACAACCCCCCCCACACACACATTAGGTGCTTCCATTAAACGTAATATACAAACGTATGGTGGTGAAGATCAAACATACATTGATGTTACCATTTATGTGTATATGCAACGTCGTGCATTGTATTACATGTTCAATATTATTATACCATGTATGATAATGTCAATGATGGCATTACTTGTATTCACCTTACCACCTGAAGCCAATGAGAAAATTGTATTAGGTAAGATAGAATGTTACCTAACTATACTGTTTATAAGTAACAACAGTCTGTTGTTTGTATTTGGTTGATTAAAAAAGTGAGCTCCCTTTTATCATTGCTTCGGTCACTTTCAATATTGAATATCCACTTTATGTAGGTACGATGAATTTTCACAAGAATGAATCATTACACAACAAAATAAGATTGAAAATATTATTACCATTTTGTAGATAACATGTTAATCGTTTTTGATTGAGATCACAAATCGATTGATGTTAGACCATCATTGAAAACCTGGAAGCACTCGACGGTCGTTTCGTCCTATTGTGGGATTCTTCAGCAGTGAACATCCACGATCCCGTTCACGCGATTCGAACCTATGGCTTTTGGCTGTCCAGTGCTTTCAGGTTTTCAATGGTGGTCTAACACCAACCGATTCACGATCTCAGTCAAAAACATAATAATATCCACGACCCTATACTGATAATTACTATGTGCTCATCAGGGAATAACTTCTCGAGGGAATTCTCGGAATTCTCGTGAGAGACCGTGACCAGTGGAGCTAATCCATGTCAGGTAGAAACAGGTTTCTACCTAAGTATAACTGAAGATGGTTGCGCAATTTGGTGGATTGGTTGGAGTTAGACATTAACACCGTTAGATCGCGGCTCAGTGGTCTAGAGGTCAAGCGTTCGCTCGCGAGACCGAACGTTCTGGGTTCGAATCGATCTGATGCGGTATCGTTGATGCGCACCGCCAAGGAGTCCCACAATAGGACAAAACGGCCGTCAAATGCTTCCAAGTTTTCAATGGCAGTCTAACATCAACCGATTTGTGATCTCAATCAAAAACATAATAATTTCCGCAAACCCATACTAAACATGTTGATCGTGTTTGACAAAACAGTCAGTCACAAAGACCTTTTAAATCTCTTTGTTACAATAAATCAATCAATTAAATTCACGTGTGTGAAGGCTTATAGTAATAGAACGCTGCTTCTCGAAATCTTCTTCGGAAAGTTTCCAAGTTCATGAATATTAGTAACTTAAGAAGAAAAAGAAACGATGTTATCGTTTACCCTTATGATCCCGTCACGATCTCACGCCTTCCAATGCTTGACTTAGCTAGCTGTGGAAGTAAGAAGATCAAGAATATGTACTAAGCTTTTTGATAAAAGCCGAAAGATTATTTATGCAATTTATGAGTATACATATATGATACTGATATGATTATGCAAAGATAGATGAGTGGTGATATTGAATATGTGAATAATTTATCTGCTCATAATAGCTTATTCACGCTAGCACTTGTCACTTCCATATGACCTTGAGATACTGCATGAATTCTATAAAATCCCTCTATGTATCACTTCTACTTTGTTGAATTCAGATCATTCTCTTTTGTTTCCGCTGAAATGAAAATATATAATATTCTTTCAACTATAATTACATCTGCGTAAGACTGATAGGTCCTGGGTTCAAATCTCGCAAAGCGGGATCGTGGATGCGCAATGTTGAGGAGTCCCATACTAGGACGAAACGGCCATCCAGTATTTCCAGGTTTTCCAGGATGGTCTAGCTTCAATTGGCTCATGATTTCAATCTGTGGCATTTTTTTATTTGTCAAAGTTTTCATCTACGATTTCTATCTGTCAAGTTTCATCTGTTCCTTAGTTTTTATTTTATTTTCCAACAGGTGTTACCACTTTACTTTCGTTGACAATGTTATTACAATTAGTAGCTGATAAACTGCCACAAACATCATCAGGAAATCCTGTACTTGGTTAGTTTCTATGACTATTTAATAATTTATATAATGGCTATAATTAATTGAAGGCAATTTATGTTATAATAGTTGTGAGTATATGCAAAGATGGATAGTGGCTAGCGGTGGAATCCAAGATGCGCGTTCCCTTGCTAGCCACTATCCATCTTTGCATTTATATGCTTGTGAATTAAAGGTTATATCGAGGCAATACAACACAGTATGCACATATGCCAATAAGAGACTGATCAATTGCAGTCCTGAACATCAATGGGAAGATTCAAGTAAAACAATACCAAGTGAAATTTTGAGTAAATTTCCAAACTATTGATTTTCTTAGTTGAGGAACAAGATTTGACTGAAGTACCATTAAAATGAAATGATTTAGGACCTCGTGATAGATTCATCTTGGTAATCTTGTTAAATTCAACATAAGATTTATCGTAGCCTCAGTCGTTCATTTGTAATATCCATGACTATGATACTGAGTGACATGGCTTCAATAAATACATATACTCTTTGTTGATGAAACCAACTTTCAACAAACTTAGACTTCAGTATCTTCTTGCAATCTGAATGTAGTCACTTAACATCAACAAAGAATTTGCTAAGGGTTAAGCATTGAACACTACGAACTTTCTGGATCTGAATGGTCACTGAAAAACAGGAAGCAGTCGACAGGTATTTAATTGAAATGTGAAGTTGTTCAGTAGTAATCAGTCAAGACATTGTTAGGGTTTGAATCCTTCAGATGGCGAGCATTCAAGTAAAGTATTGTTGATCATCTATTTGATTATATCCATAGCTAAAAAATCTTAGTAACTTACTTCGTACACTTAATAAACAAACCATATATGTATTATGATAACAACCACATTAGGCTAGTGACAATTCAAAATAAAAACCATATTGACTATAAGCAAATATAGATATTGGCTATAAATGAAGTCCGGGACTCGTGTCTTGTTCGATTTACGACTCATCCGCCGCATGTACTTGCAATCCAGAGTTGATGTTCACTACGGGACTGAAACCCATTGACTATCAGGAATCAGTAGCTAAGTGGATAACGTGGTGGCTTTTGAAGTGAACAATATTGGGTTGAAGTTGCAGAGTGGACATCAACTCTGAGATTCAAACACATCCAGTTGATGAGTGCCAAATAGGATGAAATGCACGTTCTGGATTCCACTGCCAGTCACCATCCATCTTTCCTTATAATGCTTGTGACTTGAGGCAATATCGAGGCAATCCGCACAAGATGCGCATATACCAACAAGAGACTAATAAATTACAGTTTTAAACATCAATAGGAAGATCCGAACAAACAATACAAATGCATTATCTTATTAATCCTAACTTTATTGACTAATATTTCCAAATATTCTTATTTTTCATCTTTTATTTCACATCACTGAAACTGTTCAATTGTCAAAAGTCTTATATTTCACATGTACAATGATCCTTTGTTCACTTTCATTGGTATGCGCTGTGGTTTTGCTAAATTGTCATCATCATACAGGAGGTATTGTTTATGTACCATGGTGGGTAAGTTTATGGAATTTTTCGGATTCTTCAATAATTCGCTATAAAATATGTCTTAATAATCTCTGACTAAGGTATAAGCTACTATGTTCAAAGATGGTTAATCTGTTGACGTAGTAGGTAAGGGATCTTCATTAATTGAGGTGGTTAGGATAAAGATGACATATTCCCAACCACTGCTTATCTCGACAGGCAATAGTGTTTAGTATACGAGTGGGCTGGAAGAAAGCTAGAAGCGGCCAAATCAAAATGTGTCGACGATCTATAAAGTCATTCACAATTAAACTGAGCTGTTATGAAATGTGAATACTACCTGGTCGGGGTCCGCGTGATCATCGTAAGTAATATCTGGATAATATGGGTCAGAATCGTTCTCAATAGCGTAGATCTACCCACACTTTATTCTTCTCTTAGAACCTGGGTCGCGAAATCTCATATCTTTTATTTCTCTGACATTCTTGATATTTTGTGCTGACCATACTACTATTATTACTACTAATGATACTGAAACTAAGTTTACTGCTCTTGGATATGTGATGATAATTTTATCTCTCTGTGCTAATGTAGTGTCAGGCTCTACATTGTGCAAAACTGATTGACTTTTTTCAATGTGGATTCGCTTATCCTTGTTAGTTATTGAAAATTTCAGAGCAATGTACAGCTCGTTCCTGATAGCGTAGGACTTTCCTATCAGTAAGCACCCACGACCACACCTTGCATCGAATTCAGGACCTGCAGGTCAATCCTAAGATAAGCATCAAAATAATCACTTTAAAGTCTCATCATTAATATTGTAGTAATGCTCATTAACGAGTTCGAGAAGAGTTCCTGAATTTCCAGTGGGAAGGAATGACCAATGAAGTTCAACCATGTTGAGACCAAAATTATAGTCACTAACTTCATTGGATGATCACATCACTTTGTTGCGTGTAGATCAATTTTAGAAAGGTTTACCATCATACACAAGCATAGTAGTTCAATGGCTAAGCGCTCTCTGTGAAAAGTGAAGGTCTAGTCTTTAACTAATCAAAAGTAACCAGTTTACTCCTTGTTTCAAAACACACACACACACACAATGATAAAACTGTGGATACTTATGAATTAACCATTGAATATGTGAGTTTCTTGACTCACTATTTCAACAATCCACATGCAGTTAAAGAAAATTCAAAATGATAATCAGTTGACTCATAATCTTAACTATCAAAATTATTATAATATCCACAAAAACCCCTTGTGATATTCATCAGCATATGCTCAATAGTGACTGACTTCAAGAGGTATATCCTGGAGTTCTTGTGAGAAGTCGTGACTAGTGGAGTTCAACCGGATTTTTTGTGAGATAGTAACTCACTGAAGACAATGATTAATGTGTCACTCAATTTCGTGGACTATTTGAAGTCAAACATTAACATCGTTGGATATCGGTTAACTCAGTGGTCTAGAGATTAAGTGTTCGCGCGCAAGATCGACAAGTCCTAGTTTTGTATCCTGTGAGGCAGGATGGTGGTTGTGCACTGCTGAGGAGTCCCGCAATCCAATGAAACAGCCTTCCAGTGCTTCTAGGCTTTTCATGATGATCCACCATTAATTGAGTTATGATGTCAGCCATTAAAATTACTATAAAAAAAGATGTTGAACAATAAAAAAATGGATATGAAATATTGATCACTTTTCATTAAAATTTATTTTTGTTGCTGTCAATTTTTCATTTTAAGTCTTCCATAATAACTCATGAGGACATACAATTTGCATTCATAATTATTCAGTTTAAGCAAAACTGAGTCAGAAAGGTGGCGTAAACGTGCTAGGGTTGAAGCTGTCACGAGTTCATTTAATCTACGAACGGAACAAAGACTCGGTGACCAAAGACCCGTAAGCTAGCTATTTGATGCGTCTCAGCCCCGTTAACCAGAGGGAGAAGTCTAAGGTTAGAATGGGGAAGTATATTCTACAAAACAGCCAGAAACGAGCGATACCAGCAAGCACAATTCAAAACGTATATATACAGTACAAAACCATCCTTGGAGAGAGTTACCAAATAGCATACTAAAAGACGCGACGGACCAATAGCATTTAAGATATTTTGCAGTGGGAAATACGACATGAAGGTGAGAAGAGTGCCTTTGGCGTGAAAACAAACAAATTCAAATTTTCTAAATAAAATTAGAAACTTATGTCCTTTCCCAAGTGAGTTCTGGGGATCTAACGTCCTCAACAAAACGTTTAACTATCCTACCTAATGAAACCATAAGACATAAAATTTAATTTTGCCAACTCATTGATTAGACAATCTCAATTTATTCGCGACTCCTATCGGTCATAATAGTGGTGATAAAGATACTTACCGAACTCAGTAGAGTAGAGATGCAAAGAAACGGGTGACTATATCCACAAACATAACATCATGAGATGACTGTTAGTCGGTCAGTCAGCTACAACATGGGAAGTGGCACATATATGCGTCAGTTCAAGTTGCCATACGTTATTAGCACAACAACATGAACACCAAATTCATAGAAGTAGTTAACTCAGTGGTGGTGGTGGTGATGATGAAATATGAATTATTGATCTCTTTTCATTAAAATTCTTTTTCTATCTTTATTATTATTATTCATACAGATTGAAACATTAATCAATATATGGTTAGCAAGTATTCTAAGAATTGATCATGATCTATCGGATCCTAACAATAACGATAATAATGATAATCACCATGGTGATAATAATAATAATAATAAAACGGAACAAAATTTAAAAAATTCTAAAGAAAAATTAATCCCTAGTGAAAACTCTTTTCAATTAGATCAATATGATTATGATAAAATCAATCATCATATACACCTTAATCATTCATATAATAATAATAATAATAATAATAATAATAATAATAGTAATGGTAATGGTAATGGTAATAATAATGTAAGAAATGCTACAGTTTGGTCCAATATCATTGATATGAATTCGGAATTTCGTCCAGCAATTGTCATACATAAACCATTCAAACATGATAATAATCATAATAGTAATATGAAAAAATCTTTATTCATAAATCAAATCAAATTGAAATCGGAATTACAAAGTAGAATTCAACAAAATTATTTCATTGATCTAGATCTGGATTATGATCGTGATTGTTGTGATCAACATCGATTATCAACAGATTTATTAGGTAAACCATTGAATAATATGCCTTATCCTACCACTAATACTAATACAATACTAGAGGATAAAGGGAATAGTCGAACAAATGGAACTAGTCGATTACAATATACATGCAAACGAAATTTAACTGAAAAGTCAAGTAAGTAGTATGGTGTGTTTTTTTGTTGTGGAATGTTTTAACCTATTCATTCATTCATTCAGAAAGTAAGTTAGTAAGACAATTGTGTACAGTGTATGATCTAGCATTAATGAACATCCTTTCAAATGGTTGTTTCTAATCAGTTCAGTAAAAAGGAGAGTAAACAACTTACTACTTACTTACTTCTAATACCCCCGATGGAGCATACGCCACCGACCAGCATTCTCTAACCCACTCTATCCTGAACCTTTCTTTCTCATTCTATCTAATTGTTGTTCATTCTTCTCACGTCTTTCTCCATTTCTCGAAGTAATGTGTTCTTTGGTCTTCCTCTTTCCCATTAGCCTTGAAGATTCCAAGTGAGAGTTTGCCTTGTGACACAGTTGAGTGATTTCCTCAATGTGTGACCTAAACACTTCCAACACTTCTTCCTGATTTCTTCCTCTTCTGGGATATGGCTTGTTCTCTCGCACAGTAAGTTGTTGCTGATAGTATCTAGTCAACGGATCCGAAGTATTTTGCATAGACAACTGTCAATAAACACTTGTATCTTCTGGATGATGACATTAGTGGTTCTCCGCGTTTCCATTCCATACATTGAAACTGTCTTGACATTTGTATTGAAAATCCTGACCTTGGTGTTGGTTGACAGTTGCTTTGAGTTCCAGATGTTCCTCAGTTGTAAATATGCTGCTCTTGTTCTGCCGATCCGCGCCTTCACATCTGCATCAGATCCACCCTGTTCATCAATGATGCTGCCCAAATATGCAAAGGTTTTTACATCTTCCAAATCTTCTCCGTCAATTGTGATTGGATTGGTGCATTCTGTGTTGTATCTGAGAATCTTGCTTTTCCCTTTGTGTATATTGAGACCTATTGCTGCTGAGGCTGCTGCCACACTGTTTGTCTTCTCCTGCATCTGTTGTTGCGTTTGGGATAGAAGGGCCAGATCGTCTGTGAAGTCTAGATCATCCAACTGCATCTTAGATGTCCATTGTATCCCGCGCTTTCCTTCAGACGTTGACGTCTTCATGATCCAGTCGATCACCAGGAGAAAGAGAAAGGGTGAGAGTAAGCAACCTTGCCTAACACCGGTCTTCACTTTGAACGACTTTGTCAACTGTCCTCCATGCACGATTTTGCAGTGTAATCCATCATATGAGTTCTGTATGATATTGACTATCTTCTGAGGCACGCCGTAGTGTCGAAGAAGTTTCCATAGTGTTGTTCTGTCCACGCTATCAAATGCCTTTTCGTAGTCAATGAAGTTGATGTAGAGTGACGAATTCCATTCAATTGATTGTTCCACAATGATCCGTAGAGTTGCGATTTGGTCTGTACACGATCTATCCTTACGGAATCCTGCCTGTTGGTCATGAAGTTGGGCGTCTACGCAGTCCTTCATCCTGTTTAACAATACTCTGTTGAAGACTTTTCCCGGTATTGAGAGAAGAGTGATGCCCCTGTAGTTATCACACTTGCTGAGATCGCCTTTCTTCGGTATTTTGATCAGTAGTCCTTCTTTCCAGTCTGTTGGTACTTGTTCCTCATCCCAAATCTTATTGAAGAGAATGTGGAGTATTCTTGCAGTTGCCGCTACGTCTGCTTTTAGTGCCTCTGCTGGGATGTTGTCCGGTCCTGCTGCTTTGCCACTCTTGATTTGTCTGATGGCCATGCTGATTTCATCAATTGTTGGTGGGCCAACATTGATTGGGAGGTCCGTGGGTGCTGCTTCGATGTTGGGTGGGTTCAGTGGGGCTGGTCGATTCAAGAGTTCTTTGAAGTGTTCTACCCACCTGTTTTGTTGCTCTCCAATGTTGGTGATTACCTCGCCTTCCTTGCTTTTGACTGGTCGTTCTGGTTTGCGGCGATTTCCAGAGAGTTTCTTTGTCGTGTCATACAGTTCTCTCATGTTTCCTTCTCTTGCAGCCTTTTCCGCCGTCGTTGCTAAATCTTCCACATATTTACGTTTGTCGGTTCTGATACTCCTCTTCACTTGTTTGTTTATTTCCGTGTATTCAGCTTGTGCCTTGGCTTTTTCTGCTCTTGTTCGACTGGTATTGATTGCTGCCTTCTTGTTCCTCCTTTCTTGAATCTTATCCAGTGTACCAATAGTGATCCATTCCTTGTGATGGTGCTTCTTGTGACCCAGGACCTCATGACATGTTGAAGTGATTGCCTCTTTGATCCCCTTCTAGTTGCTCTCCACAATAGTTCCTTCTCCATTGAGTAGATCGTGAAAGGCCTGGAACTTGTTGCTGAGGACTATCTTGAATTCGTTGAGTTTATTAGTATCCTGGAGAAAGGCCGTATTGAACTTTTGTGATACTGTCTGCCCCGTTGTCCAGTGCTTCTTGAGTTTCAATTTCATCTTGGCGACCAGTAAGTGATGATCTGATGCTATATCAGCTCCTCTCTTGGTTCTCACGTCCTCTATAGTCCTCCTGAACGTTTAGTTGATGCAAATATGGTCGATTTGGTTTTGTGTAGAGTGATCCGGTGAAGTCCATGTGGTTTTGTGTATGCGTTTATGTGGGAATATGGTGCCGCCTATGACCAGCTTATTGAAGGCACATAGATTTGCAAATCTCTCACCATTTTCGTTCCTTTCTCCCAGTCCGTGTCGTCCCATGATGTCTTCATATCCAGTGTTGTCCGTTCCAACCTTGGCGTTGAAATCTCCCATCAGAATGGTCAGGTCCAAATGTCTTACATATAAGATGGTAATTCTCAAAAAAAAGTCATTTTAACTTAGTTTTTAATCTGAATATCGATCAAGAAATAACGTCCTTTCATGATCATCCCTTTTTATAACTTGTAAACGAAATGTTCCTCGATAACGTCAAAAATGACGTGGAAAAACAATTGATTGATTACTGAATAGCGAGTAGTGTTTGATTTATCTAGTCCATTAATGTTGATGGAATTCTGTCGAACAAGTTGTAATAAGGTAGGTCACTAGTCTGAGTAATTCAACATCTCATAAGCTATGTGTTGGTGTTAGGTGGATGGAGTTAGTGGATAGTTAAAACCTTCCTAAAATTGATTTCTAACTAGTTTATACTCATCTGCAAAGTCTATTTGGATTCTTAAAGGAAGTGATAGTTTCAGTGCATAATTCCGATCGATATCATCAAGTTTCACAGTATAGAACATTTAAAACTGATCCAGTTCAGTCATGAATACCCTCTTATAAGACCAGGACATTTATAATTGATTAATCACTGAATATTGACTAATGTCATGTTTATTTAATGCTTTAATATTCATCAAATTCGATCAACGGTTAAAGAAACCTATCGTCCTATTTTCTGATTACCTCAAAACGGATTAATGACTTTCAAGATCATTCTATATGAGTTAAGATGGATAGTGGCCAGCAGTGGAACCCAAGAGGCGCGTTTCGTCCTATTTGGGACTCGTCAACTGGATGCACTTGCATCACAGAGTTGATGCTCACTCTGGGACTCAAACCCATCAAACATCATCATGTTATTCACTTAGCTGCTGAATTCTGATAACCACTTGCTTGTACAATAGAGTGAAGTTTAAATTGTTTACTTGAATCCTCCCATTGATATTTGAGACTGTAATTGATCAACTATGAGATACAGGTACATCCAGTTAACGAGTCCAAAATCGAACGAAACGCTTGTCAAAAAGTGGATTTCACTGTTAGCTACTATCCATCTATGTTCATAATGATTGTGACTTGAGGTAATATTGAGAGATTATCCACACAGGATGCATATATGCCAATAAAAGAGACTGATCAATTGTTGTCCTAAACAAGAATGGGAAGATTCAAGTCAAACAACAATATGAGTTGTTTAAATTTGTTATTCCCTGATATTATATAAATTCAACTAATTTAATCACATTGATAATCTCTTTTTAGAATATTTCAATAAAACAATTCCAAGATTTCATTTATCATCATCATCATCATCATCATCATCATCATCTAATGAATCTCCACATGATTCATCATTATCTTCATCACCAACACCACTACCACCAGCATCGTCGTCGTCGGCGGCGGCGGCGTTGTCATCATCATCATCATCAAGATCCACAGTATTTTCATCTCCAAATAGAATTACTGATCCAAGTAGTTCTAGTCCATTCAAACAGAATCATAATAATAATAATGATTCTATGAATTTTGATATAATCCTATTAAAATTAAAACAAATTTCTAATGAATTACGTTTTATTACATCCGATATGCATAATAAAGATAAAGAGATAAAAACATCAAATCAATGGCGTTTAGCATGTCGTGTATTAGATCGTTTATGTTTATTAATATTTACTGCATTAAATTTATTTACTACATTAGGGATATTAACATCAGCACCAACTGTGATTAAAGCATTCACATCAAGAGGTGCACCATCACAACCAATGTAATATCTATATATGTATCTAGGTATATATATGTATGTATGTAAGTTGGTATGTGTGTGTACGTAAGTATGTTGTATGTTTGTTAATTAGTGTGTGTGTATGTATGTATGTATGTGTATGCATGCATGTAAGTATGTATGCGTGTGGTATGTATGTATGTGAGTATGTATATGTGTGTATGTGTGTATGTAAGCATGTATATGTGTATGTATGTAAGTATGTGTGCATGTATGCGTGTATGTATGTGTGTAGTATTTATGTATGTATGTGTGTGTGTTTGTATGTAGTAAGTATGTATGCATGTAAGTATGCAGGTATGTATTTAGGTAGGTATGCAGGTATGTATATGATAACTTACATTGAGTACTTAACTTTTTGTTCCGTTTTTCAATTTTTACACTGTTTGTGGATTATTCTAGGTAAATAAACTCATGCTGATATTCTCTTCTTTGTTTCTTTCTTTCTCTCTCTCTCTTTCTGTGTGTGTGTGTGAGTATGTTACTAGGGGGTTTTAATGTTTACCATTGGAAATTGCTTTTGTTCTTCCCATTGATTTCATTATACGATATGATTACATATTTAAATGTTAATATTTAATACATGTAAAGTCATATTACGAAATTGAATTACTTATAATGATGTTAATATTTAAATGGATGTTCTTTATTATTATACAAGAAATTGTGTTTAAATTTAATCGAATGCTTTCACAATATTTGGGAGCTGAGTTCTGAACGTATTGGACAGCTGTTTCGTTCTGGGTTGGGACTGACATTAGTGAACGGTGGCACAATATTGTGAATTGGTTGAAGTTAGACATTAAAACCGTTCAATTCCGGTTACCTCAATGGTCTATAGGTTAAGCATTCGCTTGCGAGATCGAAGGTCGTGAGTTCAAATTCCGCGTGCAGAACTGTGAATATGCATTACTGAGGAGTTCCATACTAGAATGAATTTAATAAAAGAAAGAAACCTATTAAATATAAGAAATTTCGTCTTAATTTGATCGAATACTTTCACAATATTTGGGAGCTGAGTTGATGTGAGGATGTACTTGTAAAATTTCAGTGAATGAATTTGAAGTAAATCTTTTTGTTATATATCATTTCGTAAGGAATTAAACGGTAGAAATACAACGGATGATCAATTTATGTTATTTAAGCATAGAACTGAACTGTTTTGTAGATAGTTTTGACGATTTTACGAAAGTACTTAATAAGTCTTTTAATTGAACGCTAGATTCGGTTTCTAAGTTCTTCTGGTAAGCCCCAGGTTAAATCTACGCAGTGACTTGAAGACGAGAGAAAAGGTGAGTGATATAGAAGAGAGGCTTTACTTCAAAGGCTCGCTTATACATAGAAAATCTAGGGTATTTATAATATTTTTTGGATGGTTTTGAGTTCCCGGTAATTTCTGGAACCCTAGCAAACATAGTAGGAGTATAGGTAATCATCCAATCAGAAACGTAACATGTGACTTTTCACTTTTCTTGTTGTTTCTGGTCAAACTTCTATTGAATGCTAATTGGAAAAGATGCTTCTCAATGTGCTCAGAGCCTTTTTGTCTTTTCTTTTCAAAAAGTGTTCTGGATCTTCCGAACAGCAATTGGTTTGGAATATATTCAAGCTATGTAAAAAAAAATTGATTGTTGGACATATATTTTATCTTGCTTGAAATTCGTCAGTTAAATACACTTTCTTCTAAACGTTAATACTCGAAATGAAACTAGAACCTAGTGCTTATTGCTTCAAATTCCAACCCATAACTTGTAGCGATCAACTAAACTGGCACATGTACTAGATGAAGACTCATTAGTTTCAATCCCGAAATAATGACAAAAAGAAATTATAACGGTGAGATGGATGACGTTGAGGAACGCTGAATGACCTTGGAATAAGTTACGTCCGGATAAGCATAATGAATGGTAACTTTTGGGATCCATTTATGGACCAATACTATGCGTACATTTTTATCGTATAATTGTTAAATGACTAAACTATTCATACTCATATTCCTCTTATTATAAACTTTATTTCAACTTATGAACTGTTATCATACGTTTTACCGTTCTTGAGTTATACCCAGTCTATTGATTACTACCTCCATCATTCACAGTCACATCTGGCTAATTCTTGTACAAATGTTGTTTCATATTTTATTGGTACGTTGTGGTCTGTTTGATTGATATATATAAAGTCAATATGTTTGAAAATAAATGATTTATATTGTAGAGGTTAGGATTGATGTTCTGGACTTAACTGACTGGGCTAGGCGGAATGCAGAACCAATCAGAACTGTAGGCTGCTCATACGGGTTTACGCTTCATTGTTCCGGTTGATAATTCACTGGCCTCTAATCGGCGGTCGCAATATATAACAGAATATTAATCTACTTAGTAGGTTAAATGAAGATTATAAAACATTATGAAGAATAAATATTATAAATTACATTTGATGTTTAAGTTTAGGAATTAGATTTAAGGTTTTTATCATGAAATGACATTAGTTGTAATGCTAATGAATTTCGCGCTAGAATCAAAAATCTGATATTTTGAATGTGATTGGTTCGTCAATAAATTATAATCTCATAGCTCCTATTACCGTTTTAAGCTTGAAACGATAATCTGGAACACAGTGAGTTATTCAAATTGAACGTCACTTCTGTTGTAACGTGTGGGACTGCAGGTTTTGATAAGCAGCGTTTATTTATCGATCGATCACAGTGACAGGTAAACACGTACGGACGGCCTAGAGTCTCGATTGGTCCCACTTCCCTGTCTAGCCCAGTCAGTTGAGTCCAGAACACAAGTCACAGCCTCTGAGTTATGAATCATTGTATTTCAGACATACTCTGTTTATATACCAACCAAACAAACCATATCGTACCATAAAATAGGAAACAACATTTACAAAATATTTAACAAGTGAAATAAACATCGACCAATAAGAAATGTACATTTAAGGTCCAAGGCCACCATAGACTTAACACGATAATTATTGGTATATTTATCCGACTATCCTAACAACTTCAATGTTATAATCTTCATCAAGTCTAAAGTAAATAGTCTTAAATGAGTTAAGTAGACAGTTTTGAGCATAATAGAAACTCAATAAATCATTGATAAATAGCAATGAACTTCATATTACGTAATCCATCTTGTTTCTAGTGATTGATTTATTGAGTGAGTATACTTGGATTTCAGTGTTGATAATCACATTGAAACTTTCATACAATGAATGATTACTTTTTAGTTGCCATAATTCTATACATCTCTCGATGTATCGTCTCAATTCACAAGGTGCCTAGATATTCTTCTGTAGAATTTGTAATGGAACTTTATGAATATTAATGATGAGAATGTTTAAATAACCATAATAAAGTTGTATTAAACCTGTAGAATAGTTGGTGGACATCATAACTCATTAGTCTTTATGATAGGGAGTGAAACAGTCCTACGCATCGACAACTTCACTTATCTTGGAAGTCTGATCAGCCCTAATGGGTTGGTGTCTGGTGAAATTTGTGCATGGATTCGAAAAGCTCGCTTGTCTTTTGTCAACTTACTTCACCTTTGGCGAAGGCGAGATATCCGTCTATCGATAAAAGGACGAGTATACTGCGCGGCAGTCCGTTCTGTTTTAATTTACAGCAGCGAAACATGACCATTAAGATTAGAAGACACTCGTAAGCTACTAGTATTTGACTACAGATGTCTTCGAAATATTGCTGACATCTACTGGCATCATCGGGTAAGTAATAGTGAGGTTTAGACGCATGGTATTAGGGGATGATGGTAGATCAGTTGATCAGGTTGTGAATCTTCATCGACTGAGATAGTTGGGCCACGTGTTATGTATACCTGAACACCGATTACCACGACGTTCAATGCTAACCGGTGTTGGAGTTGGCTGGAAGAAGGTTAGGGGCGGCCAAACCAAAACGTGGCATCAGTGCTTGAAGTCACTAACTTCTAGTCTGAGCCATGCTGGTAGATGCAGACTACGTGGTTGGGGTCCGCGTGACAATCGTAACCAATAGTTGGAGACTCTTGGTGATATGGCTGAGAATCAATCACAATGTGTAGGTGTATACACTCTTTGTCTTCCCTTAAACTAAGAGATTAAAATTGCTTCAAATCTTTCTTTCTACATACTAATTCTTTTTTCCTGTACTATATCTTTATATACCATCTTTCTTTTATATATTACCTTTACACAAAGTAAGCACTGAAGATGTACAGAATGATAATGAAAACTCTATCATTTAACCATCTATCTCACAAACCTAATCATCATCATAAAAGAGGACAATTGACTGAAAGAATATCACGAAATTATTCTTTTTTTTTATTATAATTTCCTAAAAAAAACTCAAATCTAAATAAGTACACTGTTGGAAGTAACATTTCAAACTCGTTAAAAACACAAAGATAAAGTGTGTGTGTGTGTGTGTACGGGAGATTGAGGGGGGAGAACAACAATAGATACACTAATTCACATATTGATCATTGAATATGTAATTCAAGTTTACAATATCTACATACAATAAACAAAAAGACAGATCATATAAAGAAAAACAATTACTAGAAATTCTAAACGTTTTCATTGTATCCATAGCAACTGAATAGTTCATCATGATCAATTACATCATTATGAAATGAGAAATAATAAAGATTGAAAAGTAGAAAATCTCCTAATCAATATTATACTTTTATTTTATAATAACTAGATCAGTCAATTTCAAGAAGACATTTATCTGAAGAAGACGAAGAAGAAGAAGAAGAAATAATCAATAATCAATAGTTCTCTAAAATGATTCAATGAACTGATGATTGATAGTTTCTGTTTACAGATCATAAATCGATCCAATATTGTTTCTAAGTTATTAATCACCATCTAATATTGATCAATTCATGATCTCAATCTTTTGCTCTCTCTTTTTTTCTCTTCTCAACCTGTGTATTAAGATTATAGATTTAATGTGTATTGTTATGTATATATCAT